TGTTACTATTAAAAATGCAACGGCTGCGAAACTATCTTCCCAAGTGAGTCCGTCGCTCAAAGAAAGTATGTTCGTACAACTCCGAAACGCATGGCGCGAGCGATATGAGAGAAAACATCAGTAGAATTGATACAGACCGCGAAAAAAACACACAATGAGAAGACGAAGAACAGCAGCAGATAATTGGACAGTTTGAGCAAACAGATATAATTTTTGAAGGGAAAGAAGAAAAATCAAGAAATCCCAGGAAGTTCAACAATGGAAAATTTGAGGGGAAAACTGGTAGAAGAACAGGTTCAACAAGCAGTACAACGCATCCAACAAGCTGGTAACAGTGCTCGCACAAAAAAATAACTTACTATGACTTATGATGTCAATATGCCTAGAACACCCAGAAGCCGTACTTCGTTTCCTTGAGGTGCAGAAAATGCATTTCTTTTATGAAATTTTGAAAGAATAGTGCAAAAACTACCGGTGATGAAATGCAATGTTTGAGCATCCGAAAAAACCCACGTGGAAAAAAAAAAGACGAAAAATAAGGGTGCATTTATTGAGTGGGAAAACAGAGAGGACAGGGGGCACATAAGACATATATATATATAGGTTATCACTAAACAGAAACAATGGGGCAGATGTAAGATGGCGGAAACAGGTTTATTTTAAACCGGAAATTTTAAAATTTGTAAAAAAAACGACCGAATATGCTGCTTATCCAACGGATATGGTCCCAAACATAAATTAATCGCGATTTGATTATGCAGTACATGAAATGATTACCCCAAAACTGCTACAACTACCATGAAATCTGTCATCAATATATTGTTCCCTACAAAAAGAAGAAAGTAGAAAAAGGCATTATATTCTGGAAAATATTTAAAACTTGAAAAAATACGGGCCAGAGAGTGGCTAAACGTAGCTTAAGTGATATGAATAATGCCAGTGTTTGTGTGTTAGTGTGGGCCGAACCTTTAGCTTCTCTCAAAAACAGCTTCAAATTAAAAAATTGAAAAGTAAAAAAGTGCCCACAGAGAACTGGGAAAATGGCATCACACATCACAATTCCCGCTTTTGTGCTGGCATTTTAGACAAGTTTCATCTCTAAAACATTCACAACTGTTCCTAAAACTAGCGTACAAACA